AGGCACCTTATGTTTGCTATCTCACTTAAATATCACACCCACCTGGGGGGTTAGATCTTATTTTCTCGTTTTCACATGAGATCCACTGAGACTTAGTGAGTTTAAATCCCTTTCCAAGGTCACACAATCAGCAAAGGTGTAGTTCACACTCAGGTCTCTCTGGTCTTTTTTGTGCTGCCCCTGGCCACTGGCACAGCGACTCCACGGCTGAGGGGACCTGAGCCCCAGGTTGGGTCTCCTGGCAGCTCACGCGAGCCCTTGACCTTTCTGTGCCTCCAATCCAGAGTGAGAGATGGAAATGGATACGCTAGCATGCGATGCTCAGGATGGTGGCTAAGTGCAAAACGTGTTCATCAGAAAACGCCCGCGATTGTTCGGCATCAGAAGAGTTAGATCAGGAGGACTCTTACCCCCTTCCCACTCTTACTTCCTACCCCACCCTGAATGGATTGTGCTTTCCTGGTTGAAGAAATTCATCCCTGGGGAAGGTGGGTGGCAGTCAGTCTGGATTGCTGGGTAAAAACCAGGCTTTCATGTCTTTGGACTGTGATCTGCTGGCTTCTGCCGGTGGGTATTTAGGGACTCTGTGGAGACCAGGTAACGCTGAGTGAAACGTGGAAACGCTTATGCAAACAGAGTGTTATGGGAAAATGGAAGTCGGTGGGAGAGGGGAGCACAGCAGCCCTCGGTGTGCTGTCGGGCTGGGGTGAGACTGAACCCCAGCAGAGGGCTGCTGGGCCAAGTGTCTGATGGTGGGTGCGTTCTTGGTATGACTCAGCGTGACTCCCACCTGTTTGTTTCCTGTTCTTTACTTCTCTCCTTTCTTCCAGAGCCAGAATCTAATGAAAGCCTGTTCATTAGAGCGCCTACCGTATACAAAGCCCTAGGAGGTACAGAATTGTAAGACACAGGCCCCGTTCTTAAGAAGCTTAGACTGAGGAGGGATAAATAATAGATTCCTACAAGGCCTCACTCCTTTAACCGCTGTTGATTGAATGGTTTGCCACGCTTCAGGGATGAGGTGGGGGAAGACCCGCACGGCATCATGTCGGGCGGTGACAGTGGCTGTTCTTCACAAGGAGTGTGGAGACCCAGGGGGCATGTGTGGAGCCTGTGCTGTTCTCCACGGAGCTGTCGGGAAGGCCTCCTGACCCAAAGCCGGGTCCGAGCTGACCCACCAGGATGGCCTGTGGTCATGGTGACTCCCCTCCTCTGTGGCAGAAGGACCCGTGGTCTGACAGCGAGGTTCTACATATGCACACATTTGGACTGCAAATTGAAGCTGGGTCTTGCCCAGAAAATCTAGTATGGCTGTTGTCCTGCTGACACGACAGTGCCCTTTAGTCCCATGGCCCCTGCTCAGGAGTCCCCGCCCTGCCTTAGGTCTTTTCCTGTGATTAGCAAGAGAGCCAGCTCCCAGTGACGAGCGTGTGTCTCTGACTCTGTCACCCTCTTTGAGCGACACTTTCTTTGTTCCCTGACAGGAAAAGGTGACCAGAGCCGGTCAGCCTGGCTGGGAGCTCAGGGAAGGCCCCCTCCCCTCTCAATGAAGCCCATGGCCGCCTGGCTTTCGAAACTTCTTGTCTGGGGTAACTGTATCTCACCTCATCAGCCCCACTGATGCTTACGTCAGGAGAAGACCGTTGTGTCAAAGCTGACTGGTGCCCAGATTATGGCTCTGAGCGTCTACCCACCTCTGTTCTTCAAAAACAGGAAGTCAACCCAGGCCAGCGCAAGTCAGCCCCAAACCCAGAGGCTTAGATCTCATTCGCGCTCAGAAAGTCGGTGTAGAACTTGGCAAGCTGGGTGTGTGTCTGTCCTCTTCCAGATGCCTCGGTTTCTCCTACTGCCCTCAAGCTCAGCTTCCGAGTCAGACTCGAGCTTCTTGGGTGAGACCTGGAGAAAGAGACAGTGGTGGGAGGCCGAGACCCTGCCAGGGGTTTGAAGACCCACTGGCTCTGCCCATGGACAGAGGATAAGACCTCAGGTTCCAGAAACCATTTGTGCTTGTGTGTTGTTTTGTTGATTCTGCAGCCTCGGAGCCAAAGTGATACGTTCATATATTTCCCCATCAAGAGTGACAATACTCTAAAAATACCGGTAGTACTTTTTAGGGGGAATGCTAAGCTGTTATTTTGGGATAGATCAAGACCCAGACTTGGGGACTCAGGCTGCTGGCGATCAGGGCAAGGAGGAAGGAACAGGCCCGGGGGCCATCCCTGAAGCAGGTCCACTGTGTTCACGTCAAGACAAGAATATTCTGGGACTTCCCTGGCAGTCCAATGGTTAAGACCTCGCCTTCCACTGCAGGGGTCATGGGTTCGATCCCTAAGATCCCACATGCCTTGGGGCCCAGAAACCAAAACACAAAACAGAAGCAATATTGCAACAAATCCAATAAAGACTTTAAAAATGGTCCACATCAAAAAAATTCTTAAAAAAATAAAAGACAAGAACATTCTGCATAAGACACGCAGGCTGGGCCTGGGTTAGCTTCCCTGGGTCAGATGACAGGGCACAGCCCATACATCTAACTGGCATGGCTTTCTCCCTCCTTGTCTGCTGCAGGTCCACATGCCCTACGCTTTCCTCTTCTTTTAATCTCTCTCCGTTCTGATCTGTCTCCCTCTTCTAAATCAGAATTCCTTTCTGTGGAAATAAGCCACCTAGAGGTCTGAGAGATGGAATAAATAACGAATAAATGGGTTCCCTTGCCCAGTCGTCGATGAGATATGGCTGCCACCTCCCCTACACTTGATTACCAGCTGTAGAGGAATGTCATAACATGGAAAGGACTCCAAAGATGAAATTGGCCACTGGGGAGGGAAGGGAGGATTTTAAACCAAGACCCAGGAAATAAATCCAAGAAAGGGCTGCTGTGGCAGGATTCATGCTGGGTAATGTGTGAGGACTGCTCTCCATCCCGGGGTCCTCTCAGAGGTATCCCGGAGTCCTCTCAGAGGTATCCCGGGGAGCAGACTTTCTTCCCTCAGCTCTCTGCTGCTCCCTCATCTGCCCCGGGGCCACCCCCGGGGCTCCCCGTGAGCCATCTTGGAAACAAGCATGTGGCGAAGACTCTAGGCTCCTCCAGGCTCTGATGTGCTTTGTGGCCAGGAGGAGGGTGACCGTGTGGGAGAGAAGTTGAGAAAGTTAACAGTGTTGTCTGGGGACACTTTCGAAGTCATGTTTTAAGAGGCAGATCACATCTGATGCAACACGAACCCACCGCCAAGCAGCGAAATGCATAGGTTCTCAGGCTCTGAGACCCTATGGGAAATTGCCTATAGGCCCCACAGCCTGGGAAACTGGCCTGGAGGTTTTATAGAGTGACTAATATCCTACAGGGATCCGCTGGGTCCTAGGACTTGCATCAGGGTCAGCACATCAGCCCCTCTTAGAGCAACACCCCTGGGACCGTCCATGTCCATCTGGAAGAAACTAGTCACAGAGTGGATTCAGGACTTATTTCTCTTTCCCACCTCTCACCCAGCTGTGTGTTTACGCATGATTTTATATTTTCTGTTGGGAAATCTCAAAGCATCTAAAAGGGAAGCAGAGATTCTCAAGCTGCAGGCAAAGGTGTATGTGTGTAGGGTTGAAGGGAAGGGAGTGTTGCTGAAAGAAAGAAGAGAGAGACAGAGAGACAGAAAGAGAGAGAGAAGGTAGAAGGGAATGAAATGGCCAGGGAGTAGCTGGGTCTCCAAGGTTTAATACTGTGATATTATAGTTCATAATCCTGTCACATTTGACACTACATGGTACCATTATAGGTGTTTGGGCTGTAGGATCAGGTGAAACAGTGTCACAGAAACACAATTTCTTTCCCTCCCATTTGGGGATATTGGCCAGCAGGGGATGTGATGTGTTTAGATGTTTATAACTGGTTGTCCCTGACCTGGGGGCTTGTCCCCGCTCCCAGCCAAACATGGCATCTGCTCCGTTATTGTCCAGAGGGTGAAGGGTCTCCAAACCCCTAATCACCGTGAACTCCTGACACCCTAACTTCATGCTACCAGCATGAGTCCCTGGCAAGGGGATACATTTGCGACTTGGTTGTGATTCTTCTGCATCAGGACAGGTAAAGCTTGGGGCTGGAAGAGGTCCAGGGAGGCAGAGGGGGACATGGAAATGCCTGGGATTTGGATGACACAACAGTGATTCTAAATCCTGATTTGCTGGCTCTGTTAACCTTTTGAGATTCAGTTTCTCCCTATGAATAATGACAGAGCGTCTCTGAGGATCTGGTATGTTGCATTGCATAGGGAAATTGATCAATAATAGCTAGAAAAAAAAAAAAAGGAAAAAAAACAGCTAGAAGCCCTTCTTAGAATCTAGTATAATTGTCTCCTTCACCCAGGTGAAACTAGAACCCAGACTGGCAATTCCCACAGAAGGGGGATTCTGTAAATACTTGTTGAGTAGAATTGACAAGCTATTGTCTCTGGACTCCAATTCAGGGCTCTTTAGAGTCAATTTCACCTTGTTCCTTTTCTGAACAGGCATCTTCTCCGCTTTCAATGCCACAGGCAGCAGAGGCTCCCAGAAGGTCTGTTTCCCTGAAACTGGCTCTCGGAGGATGTGACGTGGACCTAGTGAGTTTAGCTCAGGTTGCTTCTCTGGCACCAGCAGAAGCAGTTGCTTCTCTAAGAGGCTGAGCTGGGGGCCCCACCCAGAAGAGGAGCTGGCAGATTAAGCTCTCAGCCCTGCCGGTCTGGCGAGAGGTTGATAAGCGATCTTCAGAGAAGTGGAGGGAGCCGTCTGTCCCTGCTTCCTTGCAAAACCATGACTCAGGAATATGGTTCACATCCTCAGGATGGCAGAGGGGCTAAAAATAAACCATGACCAAAAAGACCCCGGCGACGGCCCGGGGGGGTGGGGACGGGAGAGGGAAGGGTGCCAGGGGAGCTGGGGGAAGGCGAGAAAGAGAAGGGGGAGGAGGGGAAGGTTGGGCAGGGGACCACACAAGGAGAGGGAGAGGAGTCAGAGCCTTGAATCAGAGGCGGGAGCGGGGGAAGGAAAGTCCTGGAGGGAAGATGTGTTTGTCTACTGCAGGGACACAGGCTGGACGCTTGGCTGACGGTCACCTCTGCTCCCTTTGTCCCTAAATAGGAACGTCCGCCTCTCAGCACTGGGCTCTATCTCCCTCAGTGATGTCCTGCATGTCTGTAGTTACCACTTCTACGCTGGGGACGCTGAAACTTCATCTGTGACTCTAATCCCACCCGAGTCTGGTCAGTATCTTCAGCTGCCTCCTTTAATCTATTTTATGTATTAGTTTCCTCCTAAGATTTTTGTGGTCACTAAAAAAAAAAAAAAGTTTGGCAATCATTGACTTTTGGGTTGAAACTGTCTTTGCTGAAATTTAAAATGTCCCCGATTAAAGTGCCCCTCTCCCATCTGTCCACCAGCCCCCTTTCTCCCTTCCTGTGGTGCTATGGCCATACTCCTAGTCATTCAGACTCTGGATCCAGGAGTACAAGCAGGGGCAGGGTTCCCGCCTGCTGCCTTGGAGATGTTTCTGGGATTCGGCACTTTCTTGCTCACCCGCTGTGACCTCCCCCCCGGCCCCACACTGTTAGGGCCTAGACGGCTGTGACATCTAACTAGCTTCTCTCTCCTCCTCTGCTCTGCGCACGTCACCCTCTGCCGAAACTTCCGGTGCCCCTCTTTCAAAACCCTCAGTGCTCCTGTGGTTCCCTCATGGGAATCCTCTGGCCAGAAGTCAAAGGGCTCTCCTGGCCGGGTGGCCCAATGGTTTGACGCATCACTCTGTCTGGTCAGCCATCCCTCCCCCATCAGGGTGCAGACCTCCTGCAGTCCCCACCACCCCCGGGAACACTCCCCACTCTTTTGAAACTGCCCAGTCTTGCCCATCTTTTGCTTTTCAAGTCTAACCTTCTCTACTTCCTTCTCCAAGACGCCCTCCCCCCAATTATTTTAGCCTAAGGATTTTTCTGAGTCCTTGCAATCTCTCCAGTCTGCAGTGCATAGCTTAGCATTTGTTTATACACAGCTTATCCCGATGGCTGGCCTAGCTCCTGATGCCCCACATGCTGCTCCGGGCCCCTAGCTGGGAGGCCCTGGGGCCTTTGGCTCCGCAGAGCTGACTCCTCTTTCCCGCCCCACCTCTCCTAAGGCACAGCGGGCCTCTTAGGCTGACCGCCTTGTTCCTGAGCCACAGTCTCAGGAGAGTTCAGGGCTCAGCTTGACATATCTGCACGTCTCTTGCTTTGGATTAGCTTCAACATCCTTGACCTTGATGCTACCAGCAGGAGTGTCTTCACGTCCCTGTCCCTAGCCTTTCTATTTCTCGTCCTCGGTGGAGCCTCCGGGCATGTTCTTATTTACTGCACTGGAGCCATCCCGGCCTCTTTGTCTCTCGGACAGGCCAGGCTGCCTCCAAACAGGGCCTTCCCACTCCACCTCCCTTCCTGCCTTCTTTGGCTGGGTCACTCCTACCCACCCTCCACTTCCTGGGGGGCAGCTTCCCTGACTGGGTCAGATCCCCCTGACAGATGCTCTCAGAACGTCGTATGCTTTCCTCCACAGCACTTAGCACACATGCGATCATGTGCTTAGTTCCTTGTTTACACACTTTCCCCCAGTGGCTGTATGCACCATTTGGATGGGGTCCTAGCTGGTATTATTTTCTGCTTTGTCCCTAGCATGGAGAATACACAGTGTCTGGCTCAGAGTAGAAGATCTTTGTTGAAAAACTACAGAAGATGTGTTTTGGATTTGACTTGGGAGTTGGGGTCTGGTTGGTCCAGGACCCAAGGATTCTGCCTTCCAAACACACTGTGAGTTGTTTGACAAAGTTGTTTGACTTTGTGTTGAGCCAAGCGTCAGCTTGGAGAGGCCATCCTTGCCCTCCTACATTTTCTCTCATGCCTTGCAACAAAAAGTCCAGGTCTGGCTCAAACTCTCTATTCTTCTAATATCCATGGCAAAGTTTCCCCTCCTCCATCTCCCCACTCCCCAACTCTGGCACAGATTGGAGGCTGGCCGATGAACGGACACAAAAGACAGTGCTTCTGCCAATCCCGCCCGTCGAATCTCTGGGCCAGTTTCCTCTCTGTCTCCTGTTCTGCGGGAGCCTCTCACCCCAACAGGAGCACAGCCCTGGGAAAGGTAGCTCGGAGCCCCGGGCACAGGGGTGGTGTCTGAGACGTATCTGCAGAGGATCCGTCACGCTGGGCAAAAAAACTCCGTTGTGCATCCATCCATCCATCCTTCCAACCAGTGTTTACCGAGTACCCACCACCCCTCCTGTTCTCACCAAGCTCACAGTCTATCGGGGGACTCAGAACCCTGAAGAAGTCAGCAAACCACAGGTTACAGGTGGCTCTTAGGGCCAGGAAGGAGCAACAAGGTTTGGGATAGGGAACTGTGTGGTCCCTGCTTTGGATCTGAAGGTCAGGATAGGTTAAGTTTAAGGTGATCAGGTTCATCTTGCCTCCTCACCTCCACCCCACCAGTTGTTCTGTCCTTCAATGACTTTTCTTTCTTTGCTCATCTCTGATCCACTCTCATATATTCACATCCCAATTTTCTGTTTTCCAAGTTCTTTCTCTGCCGGTGTTTGGTCTTTGTCTTTGGTTCCTATTTATCAAGAAGTTTGAAAACCTAGAAGCTTTCCTTTTCTTTTTCACTTGGCTTATTCCAATGAAATCCCTGGAGTTCCAGGTTCTGGGTCATCCCCCTAAATCACTAGGTCTCACAAACTTGGAAGGTTGGAAGATAACTTAGAAGTAAGCATGCCCAGTCTTTTGATCTTCATTTTCTCTCTCTCTCTCTCTCTCCTCCTCCTCCTCCTGTTTCTCATTTTCCATCGCTCCGTTTCTTTCTCTTCTCGGCTCTTTCCTCACCTCCTGGTGTTTCTGTCCCATCTGTCTTGCAGGATGACAAGTGGTTACAAGATAGGAAGGAGAGTCTCCCTCCTAGGGCAGCTCATTTTTTCCAGACACGTGGACAGATCTCGTTTCAATTATCACCTTTTTGATACGGGTCAAGCTGATGTGCCACAGTTCTGTGCCTGTCACTTCATCATTCCCGGCTTTTGTCCTATAGTCTTTGTTCTATCGTGGGAGAAGGAACTAAGCAATTTACTTTTTTTTTTCTCTGCAGAAGGGAGGATGCAGAGATGGGAGGACCCAGAAACACGTGGACTGTGCTTTTTGGTAAGTGGTACCAAGCTTTGTTAAGTCCTCTCTCCCTTTCTTTCTTGATGCAGAATACTTGAGGAGTAGGAAAATTGCATGTAATGTGTGAATGGTCCTTCTCCCCTGCTTATCAGGGAATCTAAGCTCAGTGGTCAGCTAAGTGAGCAAGCCTGAGGGTACTGTGGAAATAGCATGGGCTGGATGTGAACCACAGTGTGGCCATTTATTAGCTATGCAACCTTGGGAAAGTTACTTCCTCCTTCTGAGTCTCATTTTCTCATTTGTCAAATGAAGACAGACTAGTACTGACTTCTGAGGCTGTGTGTGAGGATGGAATCTATGAAGGTATCTAAAGCACCTGGCTGGGTGCTGAATGTACACTTCTCATTCCAATTAGTACACACGTGCTGAACCCCTCACATTTGATTCTGCAAACCGTATAGGGCCTGGGCCATGCCTTTGAGGGTGCAGTGAAGAAGCAGCCAGGATTGTGGAGATCAGGTTATAGACATGGTCCTTTCTTCTGCCCAGGGGCCTGGCTCTGAGCTGGGGGTGCTCAGCAGGGGCCCTTTCCCCAGGAGCTGTCATACCTCAGGAACCGGCCGCTGCGCCAGCATCTGGATCTTCTTAGATCTCGGTCTGGACCCCTTCTGCTTGTCTTGTAGAATCAGTTATCAGCAGCGAGCAGAGGGGGCTTTGGCTTTCTTCTCTGTGGCCCAGCCTGCCGCCTTCCTATCCATAAACAGCCTGGAGAGGGGCAGCAGGAAGCTTGCTCCTGGAGCTTCAGGTGATGCTGCCCTGCGTGCTCCCTCCATGCCTCTCTGACCTCAGATGCTGCTGTCTTGATGCTAAAGCAGGGCTTCTTTTCGTATCTCCTGCCCTTAGCTGAGAGGTGCGTAGGCGTCAGATGGAAATTTAGAAATTGTTCGGGAAGAGGGACTGTGGAGGTCTGTCTTTAGTTTCTGCTTTGCATCCCATTCCTATCAAGATGCTCCTGCCAGCGGCCCCATTCCCTCAGGCTTCTTTCCACTTTCTGCGACCCTCCTCCTTACATTCGTGAACTCACGAGTCCACAGACGAAGGCTGGTTGCAGCTTTGGAACAGACCTTCCATCAGCGGTGCCCCTTGCCCGGACTGGTGCTTCTGTGCCTGGGAGGCTTCTATGCTGGAGTGTCAGATGGGGGCAGGGAGGGTACCGCCAAGACTGGGGAGCTGTTTGCGTGGGAGGTTCTGGACACCCCTTCAGGTGAAAGAAGAATGTGAGTTCTCAGTCCTTGTTTTTGTTTTCCACTCAACCGCCGTGGGACACGGTCCCCCCCTCCCTCCTTGCTGTGCTTTCTTCCCTGGGCTGTCAGGATGCCCTCTCTCTGGGCCCCCTCCCGCCTCACTGGTCTCCACTCAGCCCCTCTGAGCTTCCTGTTGACTTTGGAGGGTCCCCAGCTCTCCTTTCAATCCTCCTCTCCTCCTCGGTGAATCCAGCCAGTCTCACGGCTTTGGAAGCATCTAGAGCTGGCCACCGCACACTGATAGCTCCAACCCAAAGTCCCTCTGAATCCAGGTACACGTGGAACTCACAACATGGATGTCTTGGAATTCCTGTGGCCACAACCGGACGCTGGTTCTCCTGACATAGCTTCTCCCTGCTTCTGGGTCTGAGCCGAGGTCTTCAAGAGCCCTGCTAACACCTCTGGTTCTCCTGACCCACATTCAGCTGGTCAGCTGAATGTTGCCTCTACTCCTAAGCTCTGTCCAGTGCCCTGCTGCTGTGCGTCCCCTGCATCACCGCCGCCCTCAGGCTAAGCCCCATCTCCTCTTGCTTGGAGCCCGACCAGGGCCTCCTCGCCACCTCCCCGCTCGGCCCCTGCTGGTGGCCTCACGGAGGAAGCCAGATTGGATGGACGTCCATTCTCTTCCTCACCTTCCTCCAGTCTTTGCCCAAATGTCGCCTCCACAGCCCACCTGCCCTGACCATTCTATGTGAACTGGGATCACCCCCGTCGCCCCGCTCCCCCATCCCTACCACGCGCTCTTATTTGCCTCGGGTGCTTAAGTCTTTATTATCTTTTTTTAAAGAAAATTTTATTTTTCTTTTCAATCAAATTGTCTTTTTTGTTGAAGTATAGTTGATTTACAGTGTTGTGTTAATTTCTGCTGTACAGCAGAGTGACTCGGTTATCCATATATATACATGCTTTTCCATTATGGTTTATCATAGGATATCGAATATAGTTCCCTGTGCTATGCAGTAGGACCTTGTTGTTTATCCATCCTGTATATAAAAGCTTACATCTGCTAATCCCACCCTCCCACTCCATCCCTCCCCCAAGCCCCTCCCCCTTGGCAAGGCAACCAGCAGTCTCTTCTCTATGTCCGTGATTCTGTTTCGTAAGTAGGTTCATTTGTGTCCAGTTTTAGATTCCACATTTACATGACGTCATATGCTATTTGTCTGTCTCTGTCTGACTTACTTCACTTAGTATGAGCATGTCTAGTTGCATCCATGTTGCTGCAAATGGCATTCACTACCACTGTCCCTCACCGGGAGCGGCAGGACCTTTGCCGTCCAGTCCCGAGAGCCTGGTGACACATCGCAGACGCTCTGTAGTGGACGGAGCTTTGCTGCTTTTGCAGGCTGGCCTCTTCTCGCCCACAGGTCGTGGCCAAACACCACGTCTTGAGGGAGCATTCCCGACAGAGCAGGATCTCCCTCCCCCGCCCCCCAGTGCTCTCTGCCAGGCCTTTCCTTCAGGCCTGTTGTCACGACTTGTAAGTTCACATTCACGGGTCTGCTCACGCGTTTGTTGTCTGTCTCCCCAGCTGTGACCCGTTACAGCGTGTTGGCTTTGTTCTCTGTGGTATTCACAGTCCCTGGCACAGGCCTGCAGAGAGTGGACTCCTGATACATTTTGGTTGAGTAAATGTGAACACACATTTCATGTGTCATCTTATTTGATATGAGGCTCAGGGAGGTATTTGGCCCACAGGCATAGAACCAGGTGGACGAGCCAAGCTTGAGTCTGTCTAACGTGTGTGCGTGTCTGTGTGTGTCTAACGTGTGTGCATGTCTGTGTGTCTAACGTGTGTGCGTGTAACGTGTGTGCGTGTCTGTCTAACGTGTGTGTGTCTAATGTGTGTGCATGTCTCTGTGTGTCTAACGTGTGTGTGTCTGCGTGTGTGTCTAACGTGTGTGCATGTCTGTGTGTCTAACGTGTGTGTCTAATGTGTGTGCGTGTCTGTGTGTGCCTAACGTGTGTGCGTGTCTGTGTGTCTAACGTGTGTGTGTCTCACGTGTGCGTGTCTGTGTGTCTAATATGTGTGCGTGTCTGTGTGTGTGTCTAACGTGTGTGCGTGTCTGTGTGTGTCTAACGTGTGTGCGTGTCTGTGTGTGTCTAACGGGTGTGCGTGTCTAACGTGTGTGTGTGTAACGTGTGTGCGTGTCTGTGTGTGTGTCGAATGTGTGTGTGTCTAACGTGTGTGCATGTCTCTGTGTGTGTCTAACGTGTGTGTGTCTGCGTGTGTGTCTAACGTGTGTGTGTGTCTAACGTGTGTGCATGTCTAACGTGTGTGTGTCTAACGTGTGTGCGTGTCTGTGTGTGTGTCTAACGTGTGTGTCTAACGTGTGTGCATGTCTCTGTGTGTCTAATGTGTGTGTCTGCGTGTGTGTCTAACATGTGTGTGTCTAACGTGTGTGCGTGTCTGTGTGTGTGTGTGCATGTCTGTGTGTGTGTGTCTAACGTGTGTGCGTGTCTGTGTGTGTCTAACGTGTGTGTGTCTCACGTGTGTGCGTGTCTGTGTGTGTGTGTCTAACGTGTGTGCGTGTCTGTGTGTGTGTGTCTAACGTGTGTGTGTGTCTGCGTGTGTGTCTAACGTGTGTGTGTGTCTAACGTGTGTGCGTGTCTGTGTGTGTCTCCCCAGTGTTGCACTGTACAGGCAGCTGCATCCCTGTGTAGGGAGGGCTGTCCATCCATGGCTGGCTTCTCCGGTGACCCCGGCCCAGTAAACACTGCCAGAAGAGACTCCTTCCCTACACTTTGGGTTCTTTCTCAAGAAACCTACTCTGGAGGCCCGGTGCCCAGCTCTGTGACGTCCCGTGACTACCTGCTGCCCTCTCAGCCCCACCAAACCCACGGCCTCCAAGGAGACAAAGGGCTAGAAGTCCCACCTCTTTGGGCACCGAGCACACGGCCTTGGGAGGCTGGGAACAGAGGCAGCCACCTGAGCCTCTTCCAACCACGGGATCCATCCTGTCCAGATCCCGCGGCCCAGGAGGAGCCAGCTGCCCTCACCCCGTGATGCGAGCCCACCGTGGGCACAGCTGAGAGGCCCCAACGGTCCCCGTTCCTTCCCGCCCACAGCAGGTGTCAGGCTCACACCTGCGTCCCACAAGGATCTGAGGCTCTTTTCTACAGGAAGGGAGAGGGTGAAGAGGGTACACAGCGGGGGTTTCAGAAGCAGCAGGAAGGACACTGGCTGCCCTCCCCTCCCTGGCCAAGGGCAGAGAGACTGGGGGAGACGAGCCCCTTACCCCATGCCCAAGGTCCAGCGCAGAGCTCTCACCTCACAGCAGCCCCCGGAGCCGCTTCTCCCGGTGGGCCTGGGCCTGTCCCTGGACTTCACGGGTGGCCCCCAGGCACCCCGGGTGAGTGGCAGTCACCATGCCACCTGCGGCAGGGCGGCTTGCCAGGGCTCGCAGCAGGACTGGGACGATGACAGGCACTTGGGTTCAGAAATTGTGGCAAATCCAGGGATCTGCTGACTATTGCCCGACCCTGTGGGTGATGCCTGGCCTGATACACGGAAGCTGAGGGCTTGTCTTTTGTCTCCCTGGGCAGGCAGGTGAGAGTAAAATGGTAAATTAAATAGACTCATTTAAAAAATTATTATCTATGACGCTTTTCCCCCAGTTACAATGTGGGAGCCCCCAGTATGACCCATTTGACATTAAGCCACTTTCCTCTCCCAAGCTGAGCTGGTTTTGCTTAACTAGTAGTAGATACGCTTTGCTCGTCAGTAACACT